CAACATTGAAGGCACTGAGAAGTAATCAGTTGGTTTATTTGGTGTCACTAAAAAAAAATATGAACTAGAGGTAAGTAAATTCTATTTTTTGAAATGATTAATGAAGTTACGCTGCGGTTCTTCCTGCGTAAATGCGCACAGCGTCTCTCAGCTGTCTGCTCCCTGCTATGTTCACATTTTAGAAAATGTCATTGATATTTCCCTCATTAACAAGATATTATTTCACCCACCAGCAACCCATCTGTTGTTAATAAAGAGTAAGATGTGATGCATTTCTGCCCTCCCAATGCACAAACACTAATCCATCCCTAAAACACTTCAGAACATGTCCTGATTCAAGCCATAACAAACAACACAACCATCAGGCAAATGTTGCTGTGTTTCCTGGGACCCAGTCATACTACCTCTTTAGGGGTGTAACAATACACGTATTGAACCGTTCGGTACGAGGCTCACGGTTCGGTACACATTAAGAACCAAACAATACATTTGAATAATACTACAGCATTTGGAAAATGCAATGTTCTCTCGGTGGAGGCACTGCGCTCAACATGGCAACCCACCCGACGTGTCACGTGGTGGTGTGGCGGACCCAGACGCAGACACCAACAAGGTTAAATAAAGCGAAAAGGTTTATTTTACAGGGATTAATGGGTGGTGATCCTGGGCAGAGCAAGGCGGGGCAGGGAGACCGGGGCGTAAGCGTGGCAGGGAATGGATAGCGTTGTCGAGGCAGACAGGCTGGGGAACCGGAGAGGATGATCCACTGTGGGCACAGTAAGACAGGGTAAGTTCAGGCAAACAATAAGACGAGGAAATAAACTCAAAATTAACAATACCGAGTGGCCAAGAACGACAAACTAACACTGTGAATGAAACAATGATCTGGCGATGAGTGGATGTGGAACTGGGGTAGATACTGGGTGATGAGTAGATGGAAGGCAGCTGGGTTGACTGGGCAGGTGAGGTGAATGAACGTAATCAGGAGGGAGCCGGGAGGAGACCAGGGCGGAGCCATGCTTAAAGCACACTCACACACACACAGAGACACAGGAAACACAGAGACACAGGATACACAGCCTAACAGTGACACTACTTATTCACGAGCACATTTCTCCAGACCATAATTCCCGCTTTGTAAAAGAAAAAAAAAGCTCAAACAGAGAATCGAATGTCCGAAGCTCCCGCTGTTCCTCTGACAACAGACGGCCGGACGTCAGGGATTACACAAAGCTACCCGACTCAAACGACCCAAATGGGCCAATGTCATGAATCTAGCGTCTCAGGAAGCAACGGCAGTGCAGCGGATCTCTGGCCTCCTCCAAAGATCAGAGCCGTGGCACCACTGTATCCTATTGAACCGAACAGAGAATGTTGTGAACCGTTACACCCCTCTTGTCCATCTGGGACAGAAACTTCGTAAATGTAGGTAAATTAAAAACACATCAGTGCTCTCCTCTTACGAGGACTTAATGCGAGTAAATATAGCATAAAGAATCCAGGCTAATTAAAAAATACGAGGACTCTCATCATTTGGGGACTTAGTAATCATGTCTCACCTGGGGGCCTGTTCAAGGGGACGTTTCTGTTTTGAATTCCCGTCCTTTAGACTACAGACTTTTTGCTACTTCAGTGAATCGCCTCTGAGCTCAAAGAAGGAGGATGGGAGGGGGGGCGCCCTCAAACAACAACAAATTAAATCTCTTCATTATTAAATTAAATCACCGACTGAGTGAGCGACTGAGTAGGTCAATTGCTCAGTCGGTCATTCGCTCACTCGGTCAACCGCTGACTTGCTCAGTCAGTGAGTCGCTCAGTGAGTCCCTTGCTCGCCCAGTCGCTCGCTCACTTGGTCACTCAGTCGTCACTCACTCAGTCACTCACTCACTCAGTCACTCACTCACTCAGTCGTCACTCACTCAGCCGGTCACTCAGTCACTCGGTCGCTCACTTAGTCACTCGCTCCCTCGGTCGCTCACTCAGTCGGTCACTCACTCGCTCAGTTGGTCACTCGGTCGCTCAGAGTGAGTGAGTGAGAGAGTGAGTGAGCGAGCAACCGACTGAGTGAGTAAGTGACAAGTCAGACTATCCCGTCGCTCCTTCTGCGGTCCAAAACAAAATAATTTACTGCACAAGACTGCATTTACAAATACCATGAAGGGAAGAGATAGAATTGAATAACTGGTAAGGCCATTTTCAAATCTCCCGATGGTGTATCGGAACAAAGGTCTTTTACATAAGGCCTTGAAATAGATTAGATTCTGAAAGTCTCTGGCTGTACAATCGCCCTGAAGGCTTATTGTGGTTTAGGATATAAAACACGTCTGACCTCTTCTTTCTCTTTATTTTGTTATTAATGTTCCATATGCATGCGATAACCTTCCTTCACATGGACCTATACGGCCAACAACTTCACATCAAGTGCCAGCTGGAGAACTCTGCTCCTCTTTAAAGTGAAAAGATTGCTTATCAACTAAGCAACCCATAGTGTAAAACAATAAATATGTTTCAAAAAAAGTCTTCATAACAGCTTTGCTTTGACCCGATAAACTGTACATTCTGCCTCTCACATCAAAAGTAAGAAAATCCATTGTGATACACGAACACCAACTTTGAAACTTAAAATCTTTACAGTTATAGCACCGCGTCCGTGTCTGATTCAATACGCCTCTAAGCACATCTTAAACTGCTCTGTTCATTTGCAAGTAGAGGTTTAGGATAAACACAGAATAGATTAAGTGTAACCTCTGAACGGTGTCTCCAGTGAATGAGAAAACACTACTTCTGACTAGTTTGTTGTCAGCTTCCTGCAGAAGGCTTCCTTCTTCAACTGAATAACCTTTTCATCAACAAGGAAAGTAGGTTTCATTCTAAAATCAGATATCTGCCATTTCAAAGAGGAGACACTTCCTGTGAAGAAATTGACTAATCTAAGAAATGGAGATTTTAAAAGGGTATTTGGGAATGCAAGAGTGTGATTGACAGCACCCTGATGCACTAAATTATTTTCAATAAATTATAGATATACAGACGAACTTTGAGTAATGATTTTCTGAATGTCATTAAATGAGGCATGAGATGCCTATAAGACACTGACAGGAAGCTTACATTACTCATCTGAAAGTGCTCTTTCATATCACCTCTCTAAATTCAGTCTCAATTTTCCCCTCCATGTATGAGGGAGGACGGAGGAAAAACAGAGGTGAGAGTGACTCACAAACAGAACAGAGACAGAAAGACAAGCAGATGAGGACAGTGAGACGGAGAGAAAGAGAAACCAATTGGGGGCAAATGTACAGACGGCCAGAGAGTGCCAGACAGACGGAAACACACAGATGCAGACTAAGCACACACACACACACAAGTATATTTCACATGTAGTCTATAGCGTCATCAAGCCTTGTGCCGTGTGCTGTAGTTTCTCAGTCTTGTACTGCCATCTAGTGGCGAGTACAAAATAACCATATCAAATATCAGTGTCCTAGGTTCTCGGACACATTTGTTCTTCATCAGGAGAACTATAATAAAGAAGAAGAGACACATTAAGCTAACATTCATGTAAGATAACGAGGAAAAGATAAGCTGGACATTGCCTTCGCCCTATCGTGGTTTGTGATACCAGCTGAGGGAGCGGATACCTAAGTCACAACTAGAGTTTGTTGGTGCGTTTACTCGCGTGTCTGTTTTAGAGACAATGGTGAAGCAAATGAAGTCGCTCGACTGTGGGGTGAGAAGTTCGACTAACCCGTTAACATCATCGACAAATGTGTCAATTGATTCAACTGACAAAGAACTAAATGAGTATTGGGAAGTGCAGTATCCCTGCATCTTTGAGCTGGACGGGAATATTATACCATAAATAGCAACCATTCTTGTTTCAGCAAATAAAAGCTGCTAACCGCTAGTGTTGAGCTCTGACTCCATGGTTCGTTAGCACTCTTGTAATACAGTCAAAAGCATTAAGAACGTGAGGTTATATTGTTGTATTTGGCCGGGGCGCCAGGCCAGGCAAGGGGGCCGGGGCGCCAGGCCGCCAGGCAAGGCGGACAGGCAGCCGGGGCGCCAGGCCGGGCGGCCGGGGCGCCAGGCCAGGCGGACAGGCAGCCGGGGCGCCAGGCCGGGCGGCCGGGGCGCCAGGCCGGGCGGACAGGCAGCCAGGCAAGGCGGCTGGGGAGCCAGGCAAGGCGGCCGGGGCGCCAGGCAAGGCGGCAGGTCTGTCGCTCCTTCTGCGGTCCAAAACAAAATAATTTACTGCACAAGACTGCATTTACAAATACCATGAAGGGAAGAGATAGAATTGAATAACTGGTAAGGCCATTTTCAAATCTCCCGATGGTGTATCAGAACAAAGGTCTTTTACATAAGGCCTTGAAATAGATTAGATTCTGAAAGTCTCTGGCTGTACAATCGCCCTGAAGGCTTATTGTGGTTTAGGATATAAAACACGTCTGACCTCTTCTTTCTCTTTATTTTGTTATTAACGTTCCACATGCATGCGATAACCTTCCTTCACATGGACACAGACAGAGAAACAGAGACGGAATGAGACAGAGAGAGAGAGACACACACACCTCAGTAGTGTGTGAGAGTGTGTGTGTGTGTGTGTGTGTATTGTGCGGTAGCAGCATGTGTGGACATGCTTGTCGTTCCATCAGTGACAGCTCTCAGCTGTTCTCCTGTCTGCCTCCATATCCCTGTCTCCGTCCCCCTACACCGTCCATCTGTCCGTCTTTCCTCATTTCCCCCGCGCTACACGTCTGTCGTCAACCCTGCCCTCTGCTTCTCGATCACGCTGATATAAGAAGCTATACTGGAGTCATTACCATAAGAAAAACTTCCACATGTGTGAGAAATGATGACGGTGTTGATTTGTGAATATTCAACACACACACACACACACACCCAGCTGTCTCCCGTGCCTTGGTGTGTGCTGAGAGGTTGGGATGTTGTTGGGTGGGGGAGGAGGAGAAACCAGAGCTCACTTCCTGGGCGATCCACCTTCCCACCACCACTCACTTAACTGCAAAGAGACTCTGCTCCGGCTTTAGTGCACATGTCTGCTTCTGTGTAGAGTCAGTTAGCTTGAGGTTAGCTTGTAACCTGCTAACAACGCAGTATTCAACGGATGCTGTAGATTTCAGGGCTATTTTACTTAAACGTCTGGTGGAGGTATGAATCTCTCCAAGGTCCAGATCTTGCTGGCATGGATTCTTGGTGTACTTGCCGGTAAGTTTTCCTGTGTGTGTGTGTGTGTGTGTGTGTGTGTGTGTGTGTGTGTGTGTGTGTGTTCAAAGCTCTTTGAACGATACTGCTAACTATAATCAAAAATGTTTTTCAGCTCAAAAGAGGGATGAACCTGTCGTTTCCACAAGTCAAAATTAAATCTCACCAACTTCAATTTAGAAAACAACCTCCCAGCTGTCTTCTTATAAAATCCATTACCTATTCAGTTATATTTTCATCAGAGATTGTACATATTACATGCATGTACGTGTGCATGTTGCTAAATACAAGTAGTCTTTGGATGAAGCGCTGATATCTCATGCCGAGTGGCATTGCTCAGAAACAGGAGACAGCTTCCTGACACATGGCCTGGGAAGCCAAAAAAATGAATGCATACTAGGGGTTATGCAATATGAAAGCTCTCACAACCCATGTACTTCTATTTCACAATATTGAGGTAACCGTGCTATTGTACTTTTTTTTGGAAATAAAACCATAGAGAAACAGTTTATGGGTAAAACAACCAGATACTTGTTTTGGCTCATCCAGCGACTAACATACCTGACAAGTCAAAGTGTTTCATTCCTTTAGGAGGGGAATCTGGATCAAATAAAATACATCATGATATCGCCCACCCCTGCTACAAGCAAACTGAAGAAACATCTGAAGAGTTTACTACTAGTGCGTTAGGTTGTTGAGGTTCCTCGCTGCATTCATATTAAAACAGAGTTTAAATATGCGAGTAGGTATGGGTTCATTGTCTTTGTTCAAGGACGCATGCTAGTTGATGTACACACCGTCTCTTGGGGGGGGATTAAGCCTGTGTGACCATTCAAATACTGGAGCAGTCCAACAAACAGTCCGACCCTGTTTGTGGATCACTTTATAGATTTGTAAATCATCCGTATACTTGCTTGATCTTCTCTTTAACAATTTATTCTATCACCTAAATATGTGTTTCACCGCATCTAATGCAAATTAATGAACTACACATTAATTAAATGCTCAAACTATGTATTTCACAAATTTGGCTTTGAAAGAAAGTCATTGCGACATAAGTTAAATGGCCAATGAAGAGACCATGACCTCACTCACTGAAAACATCATCAACACAACACGATCCACTCGTACCTGCCGCCAAGCATTGGGCGTACCTCAAAGAGAACATATGATCTAAGATCAACAGGAAATGAAAGTACAAGAACAAGAGCAGAAAATCACATGGCCTTGAGAGCTAAAATAAAACCTAAGAATATTATCACAAATATTAATAACACACACACACAGATTAATAGCAGAGAGTTTTGATCAGCTCTTAATAGAAAGTGTTTTACCTTCTGGAACTGCTTCAGTCAACGCTTTATAAATAAATATGTTCCTCAACACAACTGCCAAAACATTTTTCATTAAAACGGTGCATTCATCAGGGCGACATACCTGATTTTAACAGATTTCAGCTCGGTGTATATTTGAGTTCTTTCTATAATCAAGCATTACGTGTCTGCACCAGCAAGATTAACAGTCTATTCATTTCAATACTTGTATTTATCTTTTTCCAATTCAGCGATTTGAGCACTGGCTCATTTCCTGAACCCCACTGGTGACAAATGGATGTGATGGCCGGATAGAAGTGGTGTGTTAAGATGAATGTATGCAGCCTTTAAACCACCAGTTGGACATTATCTGCATCACTGCAGAGGTACAATAAAAATGTGGCTCATTAGATAATTTGAAGGTCTTCATTCGTGGATGCTACACATCCACTTTGAACATAATTTACTGGCTGCAGCTTGTTTTTCCGTATATCAGACAGATTATTCCAGCCTCCAAACAGGATTGTTTTGTCTCAGGTTGGATGAATTGAGATGTTCAGATGACTTGAAAGATAAAATCACACTGTGGCCTTCCATGCCACACGATGAGCTGGTCAAGCATAGAACACATCCGTCTCTTAAGGAGATCACAGCGACAAGGAAGATCAACCACGGGAATGTTTCAGCAACACAAGATTTTCTTGGCTTTATAGTTCGCACAGGATGTTTAACTTGCATACAGTATTTAGGAATAGGAAGAATGAATTAATTCACTGACAATAACCTTAATAGACAAGAATGCAGCCAGAAGTATCGTGTGTTTGGAGTTAGATTTGTGGTTGTCATCACAGACACACTGCAATGATCCGAGTAACTAGTTATTTATAGACAAACATAGCTATTCAACAATAATTCATGCCAGATTAGGAGATTACACAACCTCAAGGGGAAAGTGAACGGATGAGGCAATTTGAGGGTAACTGGCCACTTATTTTGTTTTCTTTTGCTGAAATGCATTCTAACAGCAGGACCGATTAACTCTCCTCAACAGATTGTCACAAGACATTTGGTCAAAAGCTTATTTCCGGCCCACAATATCATCATGGACTCAAATACAACCAGAAATAATCTCCACACTTCTGTCACTTTCCAGCTAGAACGTGTCAGCAAACACAAAAGAGTCTTAGCACCTTGTATTGTGCACTGGTGGTTCGGTATCCTGCGTAAATTGGGAGTTTAAAGTGGGAAATGATTGACAGCTCCAAGTGGCTCCTCTGTCCCGCCTTCCCTCCCATCTATTTCTGTCTGTGGCCGGATCACAGCGTGCTCGCAGGTCAACACACAGGCAGCAGCCATCGCTGGCTAAATGAAACAAGATCCTACAGCTCAGTTCAGATTCCTATAAACATGCAAAGGATGTAACTTTAGCATTATGTTAATTTGCTGAGTCATTTTACAACAAAATTACGAGGTGGGTTTACTGCGATTACATGAACAAAGGTGATGCGATAGTCCACTTGTAGTACAAAGTATACTACAGTAATTAAATCAAGGGAAACTAGAACGTAAATACTTTTCATCATAATAGATCGTTTGACATGAACGTACTAAAGTCTGAGAGAGTCTCGTTTAACAGCAGACAGGATGATGTCTAACAACGTAGGTGTGTCGTGTGCTGTCACATGAATGTGACCAGCTGATACCACGATTGACAGCCCTAAAAAAACCAATGACAGCAAGGAGATTATGAGTAAGCATGCGTCAGAGGAGTGAGGACGTATGAGGAATTACAGGCCTAAATATGCAATACAGGAAATGACATCGTTTCTTGCAGAACCAGACCAGTTTCTGAATATATTATCAACAAGTACTGATCATAGATAAATGTCTGCAAATATTCAGAAATAAATTGCAATCAGAAACTCTTCAATTTGAGGGATGTATGCCAACCGTTCTTATCTGGAATTCTCAGATATTAACAAGTATCAGCTTCACAAATTCAGCATCATTCAGCCTCTATTGTATGTTCAAAACGACAACAAATTAATGCTCATGTGGATTAAAAATCGGTCTCTAGTTCATTGTCAAGCAACAAGTGCAGCTGGTATATGTTGCGTCTCTCATTGGCATATATCATAATTTATAGGCTCATAAAGGCATGGTTAATAAAAAGGAACTGCAAGTCTGTTAGCTGGAAACACCTTTTGTATGAAGGCGCTAAATGCAGGTTAAATGTTCTGAACTCTAACTGATCCAGACTTGATGTCAAGAGGATCGGCCATGGATGGTTTTCCCCACACCCCCTCTTAACACTCAGAATAGGTTCTGCACCGAGGATTTACACAGACACACACACACACACACACACACTTGATCGTAGTGCTTAGACAGCTCCAGAGACACTCGGCGCCGAGGCTTTTCACCAGCACGGCACCCTCTCTCTCTCTCTCATCTGATATATATCCTGTAACTTCCCATCTGCCTCTCTTCCAATGCATTCTCTCTCCCACTGGAGGGTTTCGGGTTGCTAGTTGTAAGCCTGGGAAATGTTTGCAGTGTGAATCACAGTTAAAAGCAATCTGCTGGCCTGCCTCTCGCTTCAGCTGTGATTTTGGTTCCAGCGTGAAAACGTTTGTGGGGACACGGGCGTCAGCTGGATATGGCGACATGTCATCCTGTGTATCTCAGTCAAAGTGAGCACAAAAGGAAATGTATAAACCAGTTTGCCTCCAGCATAAAGCTCACATTACCGACATTACTTTCAAGTAAAGTTTAATTCCTCCACAGCCCAAATCTGCGTTTTCCTCTGACCTCCCTGTGCAATATGTTCAGAAGATGGCACTCATCAGTAGAAGGTGTGTACCAGAACAACGTGTGACTGAAGTGTTTGCGTACATGTCTGTGTGTCCTATAGGTCCAGTGTTCTGCTCGGAGGTTGAGACACGTCTGGTGAAAACGCTGTTCACTGGTTACAACAAGGTGGTTCGCCCCGTCAACCACTTCAGTGAAGCCGTAGTGGTCACCGTGGGACTACAGCTGATACAGCTCATCAGTGTGGTAAGAGAGCGGGCAAAAAGTGCACCATATTCTGGAGCCTCCATGTAAAACGGTGATGTACATCCCAACGTGACGTCGGCCACTACTGGACCCCAGTTCCACCGATAACAATAGTTTGTAAAATGTCCTATAAGCACCATTTAATGGCCGACCTCTAGTCTACTCCATACCAGTCACGATTTAAGAGCAGACGTAATGACAGTTTCACTTCACGACTGATGTTAACTTAATGTTATGCTACTTGAAGTTAAATATAGGATGGATAATATTCATTTATAGCAAATTACATCAAGAAATAGGCAAACAGGTCCATTCATCTGAGCATCTTATCTATGGTACCAGAACAACAAGGCAGGTCTGAAAACCTCAGTCAATACAAAAAATATTTCATTTTATGCAACGGCCAAACTATGTGAAATAAAAACAGACAATATTCCGCAATGCATTTAAATAGCTTCTGATGGTGCTTTGTGTCATGCAGTCATCCAGAATTATCCACACATTTGTTTTGTTGCCAGCAAGTAGCCTTGACCATTGCTTCTAATTATTTCTAACATTAACATTAGCAGTTATGTACACCCAAACAACCTGTGACGTGGCATATGTTTTAACATTAAGGCGGCTGTGACTATCTCCAAAACCTTTTTACTTTGAATATGTGGTGTCAAAATGTTTAATTCACATTAGAGATTGCCTCGACCATTAATATAATAGGATGTTTGCCTCTGAATGTGCTTTTTTATTGTTAAAATGCCACAGATTGTCCATAAAAAACACGAAATAAATGGTTACAAGCGTGCAGGTTATGTTTTGACCTGAAATCTCTCATGAAAATCTTACTTGCCTCTGACTGGTTTTGTTTTTCTGCTTCTCTCAGGATGAAGTTAACCAGATTGTGACCAGCAATGTTCGTCTCAAACAGGTAAATGTGACTGTTGAATTCAGGAAAACCAAAAATATATGCCAACTACACATTTAGAAAATTCCAATGACAATGCTCAGAGGGTTCGTCACATTGCAAGTATGTAGATTCAACAGGATATGGAATAGATATTCTTTTTATGAATTAAAGTAATGCTCACCTTTGATTATCAACAAAAGAGTGTTTCTACACACAGATTTCCCTAGAAATTAATGTTATTAAAGTTTTTACCATGTAACACCCAAAATACAGTTATTCAATTATTATAAATCATATATTTTAACAATGAATCTGCTGTTTAATTTACATACTTGGATGTAGTTGCAACTAATATCCCATTATGTATTTATATGCTTTTTATTGGTGAATATATACACAAATAGTATCACAAATGAATGATATTTGTTGTGTCAACTAGTTGAAATAGAAAGAAGGGAGGATTTATGACATGGTGACTGCTGGAGGTTATTTGTATTTCTTGTGCTGTGATATATACAGTAGCTACATGACAACTTGTATTTTCACAATGTATTAATTCTGGGAATAAAAACAACTAAACTTGGCTTCATCAGTACACGAGTAGACAAAATTATCTCAAGTTTCCCTGATTTTCACCCCAGCAATGGCTCGATGTGAACCTGAATTGGAATCCAGATGAATACGGAGGCATCAGGAAGATCAGAGTCCCTTCACCCGACATATGGAAACCAGACCTGGTGCTGTACAACAAGTAAACACACACTACTCAAACTCACACACACACACACCTATACGTCCAAATGCCTCGCATGCTTCTCTCACACTCTCCCTTTGTCCCCGTCTTCCTCTTCCTCAGCGCTGACGGCGACTTTGCCATCATCCACGAAACCAAAGTCCTGTTGGAGCACACCGGGATGATAACGTGGAACCCTCCGGCCATCTTTAAGAGCTACTGCGAGATCATCGTCCTCCATTTCCCGTTCGACCTGCAGAACTGCAGCATGAAGCTGGGCACCTGGACGTACGACGGACTGCTGGTCGTCATCAACCCAGTGAGTGTGACTTATATATAATATATATATATATATATTCACAGGGTTATGTTGACAGATTAGTGTGAAGCTGTGGTTTCAAATGCTACAGATCTAGTAACCATCCTATGACTCCTGTCATAAAACTGTAGTTTACAGCATGTAACCCCTGAATATCTTCACCTTTAAGGCCCTTTTCTACTGCGGTGCATTACCTCCTATACTCCTCTGTCTTCTAGGACAATGATCGGCCTGACCTCAGCAACTTCATGGAGTCTGGTGAATGGGTGCTAAAGGACTACCGGAGCTGGAAACACTGGGTTTACTACACCTGCTGCCCCGACACGCCATACCTCGACATCACCTACCACTTCCTGATGCTGCGTCTGCCTCTCTACTTCATTGTCAACGTCATCATTCCCTGCATGCTGTTCTCGTTCCTCACCGGACTGGTCTTCTACCTGCCCACCGACTCCGGTACGTAGACGTATTTGGAAACCTGTCCAAAAGAACTTTGGCGGTGTGACTAAATAAAGTAGGTTATGAGCGTTTGTAAGTGACACATATTGCTCACATGTGTGGCACATATCAGGTAAGTATTATGAATGTGGAAGCACATGAACTCAGATATTTTCACACCATTTCGGGGACACTTTCATACATGGAAAACACCTGAAATCCACTGGGATGTGCTTGTACTACATGAGCTTGCTATTCTGTAACATGAGAGCATAAATAAAACACAAGTTAGTTCATCAGTTTGCCTGTAGAGCCGTAACTTGCCACCATTTCTACTATAAGAGCTGTTTAAAAGTAGCCTGAATGTCTGTCTTTGTGTCCGTCTCCGTGTCTCTCTAGGTGAAAAGATGACTCTCTCCATCTCCGTCCTGCTGTCTCTGACCGTCTTCCTGCTGGTCATCGTGGAGCTGATCCCCTCCACCTCCAGCGCCGTGCCTCTCATCGGGAAGTACATGCTCTTCACGATGGTGTTCGTCATCGCCTCCATCATCATCACCGTCATCGTCATCAACACGCACCACCGCTCGCCCAGCACGCACACCATGCCCGCCTGGATACGCAAGGTTTATACCCGTGATGATTTCAGAAAGTGTTGTGTGTGATTGAATAAAAAGAATGCATCTGTTTGTGTCTCAGGTCTTCATCGAAACCATTCCCAACATGATGTTCTTCTCGACGATGAAGCGTCCCAGTCAGGAGATCCGGCAGAAGAGGTTGTTCCCCACCGACATGGACATCTCCGACATCTCAGGCAAGGCTGCAAATAAATGAATGATACATTAGCTTTATTAGTAAAAAGCTAAATACACCTAAAGGTTAGCAGGATGCCGTTTCTCTCTGCATTGTACTATTATCATGTTTATAATTAATATGTATTACCACAAGTATGACCTGTCTCTGCCCTGCAGGTAACCCCACCCCCACCAGTGTCACCTACCAGTCTCCCATCGCCAAAAACCCGGATGTTCGCAGCGCCATTGAAGGGGTGAAGTACATCGCTGAGACCATGAAATCAGACGAGGAATCTAACAATGTAAGACAATGGACACAAGTGGTTACACAATAGTTATAAATAAATAATTATATATATGTGTGTGTTTTATATTATAGTGAATATTATTATATGATATATATATTATTATATGATATACATTATTATATTATAGTGAATGTTATTATATGATATATATTATTATATTATTATATGATATATATATTATTATATGATATACATTATTATATTATAGTGAATATTATTATATGATATATATTATTATATGATATATATATTATATGATATACATTATTATATTATAGTGAATGTTATTATATGATATATATTATTATATTATTATATGATATATATATTATTATATTATAGTGAATGTTATTATATGATATATATTATTATATGATATATATATATATATATATTATTATATTATACTGAATTCTCTGTGAGGGTGACATAAATAAGATGTCCTGACATGTTTGTCAAAGTGTTATTTACTGCTTTTTTCATGTTGGAATAAAGGTTAAATATTTAACTGTAAAGTAGTAATACGTGTTTGATACCTTCATTGTTTTGCATTAAATCATTCTGGGATGTTTTCTGAAATTGATTGGATGTGGCACAGCCCTACAGAGAACATGTTCCACCAGCTGCCACTGCTAAATACCCAAATACCTCATAGTCAGAGCACTTCAAACACGACTCTCTCTCTCTCTTCCTTCCTCGTCTCGTCTCAGGCAGCAGAAGAGTGGAAGTTCGTGGCCATGGTTCTGGACCACATCCTGCTGTGTGTGTTCATGGCCGTGTGCATCATCGGGACGCTCGCCGTCTTCGCCGGGAGACTCATCGAGCTCAACACGCTGTAGAGGACCCCGACCCATGAGGGGGTTAGGTGTGTTCTCAGGGCGTCAGCGTTCACACACACAAAAACACACACACAGTTTGAGTTGATCTTTAAATCACCTTCCAATGTGCACGTTGGTGCGTTCACTGACATTGAGGAGAACGCAGTTAAATAGAAATCCATGCATCTCCAGATCTACATGCGTCATACTTGAAGGTACTCTTGTCTGTTATTTCTGGTGTTTTTGTACAGTGTTTTATTGCTGCCGTTCACTCTGGAGAACATGTTACTACTCTTATGTAAAAGCCATAATAAGTCATTTGTTTTTGGCCACTTGATTTAAGGTTTGAGTCAGAGGATTTCCTTAAATGTTAAAACAGACCTTTTAACACGAGAACGTTCCTCATGAGGATCAACTGAGGATGGATGCTGCACATCATTAGCAAATACTGTCTGTTGATGATGACGAACCCCGACTCATTACTGTAGGTCAGCCTGTTTAGATTTGATGTAGAAGACGTGTTTTATTTAAATCTAACTTAATTACCTGAGTCTGGTTGAGGACACAGTCTTGGTCTTTGAGTGCTGGCGAGATTTATTCCTGTCTGGAAGTTTTATTGTTTTCTTTCGTCTGACACTCACTTGACTTCTAAACGTGTCATTTATATTCATTGTGTAAATATTCATGGCTTAGTGGCAAGGGTTGCTTGGTTGCATGTAAATTCCTCTTGAATCTGCTGTACAGTCTGTTATGAGCTCACTAGTTTTTATTATTTTTGGATAAATGATTTTTTGTGGTTGAAAACCAGTTTAAAGTGATCTGCTGTTAACGGTGGACTTTCTGGCGGTATTGAGGTTCATGAAGTTAGACGTCCGTTCGGTACACTAACTGTTGTTTCTTTGGGGAACATGCAGTTAATGCTGATAATAATTGTGTGTGCTGTGCAGCTTTAATTGTGCCACAGTAAATAAAATGAACGGACATAACAAAAGAAGCCACATCACAGCTCCAGTGTTGCTGCCTGAAGGTAACTTGATTTATTTTGCAGCTGTGACAAAAAATAATTGAGTTTGGTTTCTTAATACAATAAAGCTCTGCTGTCATATTGACTTGATCAGTTGTCCATCCATCCAGCCATTTTCCACCGCTTATCCGGGGTCGGGTCGCGGTGGCAGCAGGCCAAGCAGGCCGACCCAGACCTCCCTCTCACCGGCAACATGTTCCAGCTCATTCTGGGGGATCCCGAGGTGTTCCCAGGCCAGCTGGGAGATGTAATCCCTCCAGCGTGTTCTGGGTCTTCTTGATCAGTTGTTTATATAATCACAGTTGTGAAGATGTGACAAATAAAATACATACATACATGTATATATAAAAAAAAAAATAAGTGGCTTATTACTCGTCGTGACTGTAAACTTTATATCACAATAATCAAAATGTTCTCACTAGTGAGATTCTGCAGCCGGTTTCATTTGGACCAAAAACTAAATGAACCTGTGAAGCGGACATGCAGAGCGTTCAAGAACCACAGCTATGGGCTTCCTCTGTTGTTGAAAAACTTTATTAGGCGTGCCATGCGCTCACGTAATGACAACCAGCGTTGGCAGAAAGGTAACCGATAAATCTAGCAGAGCAAAACTAAACTACAAATGCAAAGTAAACGGGTAAGAAGAGATTCTGTGTGAGAGACAAAGCAGAATCTGAGACGCTTTTAAATATAAGCGACAGCTCCGGATGTAGAACGTTCACCATGTTTTCATCAACAGCAGGGATACAAAAAAGCTTGTAAACACTTCTTGTACCATCAAAGATCAACATGTGGTCACGGTGTGGAGTCTTGAAATTCATCACATGGATTCTCTTCAACATTCAACAAACCTTTTGTCCAAAAGCACTTTAGCTGTGATGTTCTGATTCAAACGAGGAGCTCAAATTGTTCTGGGTCGTGAGTTTGAGGAGTTCAACAACTAACTAGAAACACACACACACACACACACACAAAAATCCTAAATTAAACATTAAAAATACATATTAAAAAGAATATAATGTGTTGGTGTACCTCTTTCAGCATATTTAGGCTGTGTGTGTTTCTAGTTCCAGACCTGTACAACGCAGGTGACACCACATATTTTCATTTGCATAGACACTCATTTATTCCGGTTCTATTTAATAACAAAAGAAGAACTTGTTGTCAAAACCACGTCGTGCTGGTGCCGGCCAATGACCCTCCTTAATTCTTATGTTGCTGCAGCAGCTCGACATCGTGCAGAACACACGGTTAACTCATGAAAACAACAGAGCGAGTTACTGTCTGTGAGTGCGAGTGCACACATTTAAAGCAACAAGAAGAAAACATCAAAAAGAATTATCAAAATCCTACCGAGCACCAACCAGGCCGACACTTCTAAATAGTGATTCCTCGTCTAAATGTTTAAAACCAAACAGTGCAGCAATACTTCAAAAGATTAAAACACAATACAGCCAAATAAATAGAAAGAAACTCAGTGCAAGTGACTTCAGGACATACAGGTAAAACAGTGCATTTGGCAAATGATAGTTTATAATAATCCCACGGAGGACTGAGGTTGGCAATAACCAGAAAGATTAGCTCCAGTCGGTTTGTTCAGAGACTCCTTCACTAACAGCTTCGTTCATCAACACTGACGATGAACTCACGATGCTAAAGTAGCTTGGGTTGACACGGCCCGCTTTAACGAGACTACATCTAACTGAGGAGGTTCACTTCTCCTGTGCTGTAAATGAACTGTTGGTGAAGAGAAATGATAAGACATAAGAGCGCAGATAAAGCAGCAGAGTTTAAAACACAATAAAACATGCTGCTCTGCTAAAAACGCACGTTCTGAGTTATCAGAGTTCAGTGTTTGAGTGCTGCACACCGTCTAAAGTGGGAAGTTTTAACATAAGTTAAGATAATTTGCAGCTGATAAAAGTTGGCCAATGAAAAAGTTAGACTGCATCTAACTTTCTAACCAGAAAAGAGGCAACAAAGGCATCAATGTAGAGACATGCAGCAGCTGCTCTCTGAGCATCATCGATTCAGCTGCTGATCTGAGAGCAGCAGACGAGCTCGTATGGGGGATTAAAAGACGAGATGAAGAAAAACTAAAGCAGTACCTTGAAACCTCGAGGTCCTGATTCACAACAGGAGTGTCTTAAGGTGCTTTTTGTTTGATTTCATGTGTTTCTCACAACCCAACAAGACAATAAACAACATCTATGTTCCATACTTGAATTTGCGTCGTAATAATAACCTGTGATATTCAGCTAAATATACAAACGCCACACTGAGGGGTCAGCGAAATGATGCAGGAATTAAGATTTAAACACGTTTGTGCTGCAACCAGCAGTTCTACCTAAAATCACAACTCCTCATTAACAAATCAAACAGCAGCCGACCGCCTACGTCAAACCTAAAGAACCCTTAAAGGATAGAATACTGGAAAATGAACTAGGTTAGTCACCACATACAGAGCAGTGCAAGCAGCCAGCTGCTCTATCGAGAGACAGCTCTAGGATTCAAACTACAATCATCGATCTGACACCTTCCCGTGAACCGATCCAACTGTCAGGTCGTCATATGTTGGCGTCATTTTAGGCAATATCGTTGGACAGTTGTAGTATAATTAATGATTCATTAATTAATTTAGAACACACCATTTTCTGAGCACATCCTCAGAATCTCCGTGTTCTTAGCATGACGGTGAAAAACAAACCGTCGACTTTAGACCCCCCCACCCCCAAATAAAAGCAAACTGAAACAAGTGAGACTGATGTAGTTTTTGGTTGCAAGGAAGAACAATAGAATTAAACTGTTGATGCTTGTCCGCCTATGTTGCATTAAAATGCCACCTGTCTATCATGGCCAGAACCAACACCTGTTGTTTGGACGGGATGAGCAGACGTCCCCGGTCCTCTTCTGGACTCTCTGCAACTACGAAGGCTGAGACTCGGTCTCAGGGGGGGCGCTGTGACTCTGCTCTGATTCCACCTCTTCCTCCTCCTGAACCACTTCCTCCTCCTCCTGCTGCTCCTGCTGCTGCTGCTGCTGCTCCTCCTCCTTCTCCTCCTTCTCCTCCGACTGGCTCTCACTCTCTACTTCTTTAGTGGGTCCTTCGTCTTCCCCCAACTCTCTCTCATCTGAGGAGAAGATATGCAAGTAAGACGTGTACAACACCAGCAAATGAACAGACAGAATAGTGAAGAGTCACAGAAAGAGTCTCAGGTAATGTGAATAGTTTGCAATGCAGCACACGATTGGTTGTTGGGGGTTAAAATCAGTGGTGAAATCAAAGACAATTTACAGCATTCCCTTGTTAGGGTTGGGAGGAGTGGAGAGCGTGAGCTGCGTCAGGAACGTATCTTAAAATCTCCCTCCTCTTATCCAACAACACAGCTTTCAAGAAGATCATTAAAACAGAAAAATGTCTCTGTTCAAACAAAAGCCCTTTTTCATCATCAACACCAGAATCATTGGTTCTTAATGTCAAGCTTAGTATGTTTCACTGTGGATCAAAAAAATCTATCTCAACGCAGCACTATCTGCACACTTTAGGATTCAGTCAGAAATCAACTACAGGAGGCGGCTTCTCATAGATGAGAATGTTCTGGAGGAGATTCACACGACACCGAACTGAAATTAACTGGAAATGCAGGTCTGAATGTGTAAAAACTCAGACACGTACTTCAAAATACAAGGTACAGATGGGACCTAAAATACAGGATGAACTACATGTACACAATAACAAAGTGTTAGGAACTCTAATTACAACTGTGATTGGGTAAAAATGAGCAGACGGTCGGATTAAAACCACTAATGAGAGCTTTCATATTAAAATGTGTCGAGCTACCCTAAACCAATACATCTCGTCTGAATGGGGGTTAAACTAACGGGCACAATATAAAACCTTATGCACAAAATACTTCCATGAAGTGACCGGGCACAAACTCTGACCCTTTTAACGTGTAGATTAGAAAGCAAATCAATCCATTAAGAAATACATCTGAATGTTTTGTGCACTCAGTGAAGACCAGATCTGGGTCAAACAAGTGTATTTTCTTATTTTAACAAATGTTAAGGATTCAGGACAATTCAGAGGATAACAGATCAGTTATTCCGTTTCTGTGATTTTCTAAACTTTGCCAGATTGATTTTAATTCTGTGAATAAGATCAACAGTATTTGGAAACAGTGCTGGACCCAGGTCTGGTGAAAACATCCCATTAGTCCTTCAACCCCGGAGATCTTTGGAGTGTGATTAGAGGCAGCAGATTGGGATCAGCATTGGGCTGCGTTCTACCAGGTTATGGACTCTACAGCGGAGGAAATGGATCCATTCTGGGGTAATCAGTCAAGATTAAGCCGCATCAGATAGTGCAGAGAGAGGAGGGGAACCTGGACTCTGCAGAGGTCGGTTCTGAGGGGTCTTTGGACTCTGCTGGATCCGGAAACTGTGGACCAAATTCCACGGAGCCGGACCCTTGGCTAGAGGCAAAGTCACACCGTTACACCCACTGGTCACTAGAACGCAACACGGTTAGTGCGCTCACAGCTCTGACAAAAGGAAACGTGCTGAGGAACGTCGACGTCGTTCACCATTCCACCGTTTGTACAAATGACACTAACTAGCATTTGGGTAAGACACACACGGTTTAACTGGTATGCCACTCTGAAAGCTACTTCTCTCTGCTTACTAGTTTGTGTTGCACCACCATGACAACAAACAATTTCCAAACCTATTCAATTGTGTCAACTGACTTCATCTGGTAAAAAATATGAACAGAAGATATTGAGAGATTACCTCATGTTGTATTTCTCAACTCTAACGTTACAGGTTCTTAAAAACTCTGTTGCTTTGTGCAGCAAAGAGGATGGTGGTATTTGAAGGTGGTGGTGGTGTCTCACCTCTGCTGGCTCCTTGCTCACTAACAACTACATAAAGGGTAGAAGTTGACATCGTTAATGTTAGGAAAAGAATCAAACACAAACTAATGAGAAAAGGTCAACTGGAGCACTGCACTAGAAGCCTTTAACACGAGCGGTTAGGACATGGAGTCAGTGACATTAAGATGCACAGAACGGGGAGGAGACCTTGCCTTGCTGGCTGTTTGTCTGTGCATCTGTGTGTTTTTTCCCAGTACCTCCAGAGGGGGGCGCACTCTCCTCTGTGTCTGTCCCAGAACGAGGCGTTGGTCCAGGGGAACGCGATTCTGCTCGCAGCCTCCTCTCGTAGCTGAACTCTGGAAGCCTGGGAGCCTGAGGGCGGGTCTTCCTGGCCGGATTCAGGAAATAGCAGTACGCACAGCGGAAGGCTGAGCGGGTGGGAGATAGAAAACAAGAAAGAGAGAGAGAGATTAGAAGGAGAGATTGTTAATGGCGAGTCCTTCTCATTAAATGTAATGGTGCGTTTCTGTTCTTACCGAGATATTCAAACTCTTCTTTCAGAGCCATGCCGTTATGAGAAAAACACTGCTGGCAGACCAAAGCGTATCTATAGGAAGGAAGGCGGGACAGAGGCAGATGCTGCTTGATAAAATACTATTGCAATGTTCATTTCATTCAAGGAGTTATTTAGTCAAAGTTAATTTCCATTAATCTTCCTCGTCTAAGTCCTGAAGGCAGGAGAAGCACATGCATCATTATGCTGCTATAGATTCCCAATCTTATAGGTGTGTGGGGTAGAGGAGGTCTGACAATGACTGAGCACCACTCCCTTGTGGGGAATCTGCAGACTGCTAAATGATACTATGAGTTTGGGTGAAAGTTACAAGCTACTTCCACAAGAGGGGGTTTTAGGTCCAACCGAAGGGTGTTCACCTGTTCTGTGGTCCGTCACCGACCAGGTATTCAATGACTCGGTCCACGGCTCCCCGGTCTTTGGACAGGATGGGTCTTGCTAATGGAGGACCCGGTGGGTGCATGCCTTTAAGAAAACAGATGGGAACGAATACACACACAAAGAATGCATCGATCTTTTTAAATTCAGAAATGTTACATTTCATACAGATTCAAGGCTTTACATTTGAGTTCACAGCCTTGCTGATCTCTGTTGGCCTCAATACAATGTGCCATATGCACTCATAGAAGCATTTATGACAAGATGCAATCAAAGGCTTTTCAACCTACCTACTCCTGGTATAGGAGAGCAGGGGGTCCTGGGTATTGCCCCCTGGAGGACAGAGGCAGACAGAGCAGATCTCTCCGGCGGTCCTCCTGGAGCTGAGAGAGAGACATGTTCTGTAAGGAGAGTAACACGGGACAAAGACACAGACGCATGTCTACAACAACTAAGCCAAAGGGAACTGGGCTTTCTGTTCATTCCTGTTGCCTTTGACTTAGTTCTTCGCCCAGAATCGGAGAATCTTCATGGTCGGACAGAGACCTGTAGTATTCCTCGGTGAAAGAACACAACTGACAAGCTCTCACTGTCAACTCACGGCGCTGTGTGGGTCCAAACTGTGATATTCCATCACACTTGATGTTAAGTGTCTCTGTGTGCCCCCTTACCCACAGGTGTGCCCCCTGGTCCCAACATGAGCCGCGCTCCAGGTGGGGGAGTCATTGCCATTGCACCCAGGGTGCCCATCGGCATGGGTCTCATTGGCATCCCTCTCTGTCGGATCTCTGCATAGAGGACAGGAACAATCACAGAATTTGGTCTTTTTCTGATGCAATTTGTATTTATTCGTACTTTTTGTAGCGGTCGTCGCTGCACACCTCTGGCCTGAGCTCCCTCAATGCCACTAAACAAACTTTAAACGATGGTTTATCTTTCCCTTGTGTACTGATGCGTGTCATACCTTGTCCTGGCCTGGGAGTCATCTGAGGACGCAGCGGAGTCGACTCCAGCTCCTACATCATAGCAGCAAACAGAACCAACTAAAGTCAACCCAAACAACAAGACCAAACACTAAAAGATAAAACTAGAACAAAAAGACAACGGCACTCACAGCTTTCTTCTTAGCGTCGGGATCAAAGCGTTCCAGGATGAGTTTAGCGTTTTTGTACGTCTCCGTTTCCATCACTTCCTCCAGCTGGAAACACAAAACGAGGGAAACGGTCATTTTAGCACTGAATTGTGATCCGTTAGTTAAAACACAGATGAGCCCTGGAGATAAACTTAGCCGGAATCATTTTGTAACTAGCAAAACCTAAATGATGAGAATGGAAACTACATTAAGGAAACATTAGGAGGCAGCTGCAATGAATGCGTAACAATTGTTGTGGCAAGAAATATTACTTTGCATATTGTTAAAAAAAAGACAACATTTTGCACTTTAACATTTTGAACAGTCACACTCCCTCACCTCATGACATCCAAACTCTCTTTAAACAAGTCAGTAAAAGCCACATGTATTAAATGCTGAGTGTGAAAAATGTGTCACTTACAATCTTTTTTTTGGAAACCTTCAAATCTTCCAATTTATCATCTAAAAAAGAGACAATAATAACAGTGTGGTGAGTTTAAGTCTGCAACAAGAACAACAGGTTATAAAACCTCTAGAAAAATGCTGAGTCAGAGTGTCATTTGGTAAAGTCATAAAATGAACCAAACCCTGAAACAGTTGTTTTGTGTTCGCTGGATGGACAGACGGACAACTTACTGTTTCTCTCCGTGCGTTTGGAAAAGAGAAAGACCAACAACTTCCTGATGAGCCACACCCTGAGGACGAGGGAGAAGAAGAGAAGCAGCTGTTCTTAATAATCAACTTTAGAGTCACTTTTCAACTAACATTAAGTCACTTTGCACACTGTACAGTTTCTCAAAGAAAACACCATGCACACAAGGAACAGGGTATTAAAGGAACACGAGCACTCACAGCACGGGGTAGATGAAGAAAGGCAGGGCCATGGCTATTCTCTGGAACCATTGTTCAGGTAGGTAGAGCCAGTACACGACCAGCGAGGTCATCAGGTACAGGACTGACGAGTAGAAGAGCAACCGGCCGACCCACAGCTGCACACACATACACACACACAAACACCACGGTGAGAGAGAAGAAACTGCAATTCAAGCACATCTGGGATGTTTTGCCGACTCTACCTTTTGCAGACGATGGTTTTTGGCTCTGAACTCCTCCAGCTCTTTAATCTCCTGCAAGGGAAACATGGAGGTTTAAAGGTTATTTAAACAGTGAGCAAAGAAGCTCAAATAATGCTGACGTTGAGGTTAGAGTTCACCCATTGGGAGTTTGCAGGAATCTATTTTCTGTAACTTTAAGTTAATTTTGGGATAGTCAAATATGAGTTTCAGGTTGATGAAATAGTGACAGGTTTGTGGATGTTCCTGCACCATGTTCAGTGTGATCATCCCGTAATTCAATCATCCTGCTTTTGAGAAAGGCCCCCGATTGATTCTATAACTGTACATAATCACTGTGAGAAACTAAAATGCAAACTGGGCATGATAGAAAAACACAGAGAAACTGAATGACTAAGAAAGACACAAACCAGATGCAGTGTTTAGTCGGTACCTTGTCAATGTTCTCCAGCTGCTCGACTGTGGTTGGCTTGGTCTGGATTGAGGATAAAGGTCAGAAAATCATCATCGGGTTCATCAGACAAAAGTATCAGCGTTGCTCACAGTCAACAGATTAACAACTGATTGATGCAATCAATCAACCCCGTCACTGTAAACACATGTACTTGTGACTAATCAAGGGTCAGTTCCTGCTTCAATTAAATATCTTGGCTGACTGTCAACAAAAGAAAATGTAACTTCACATTTCTCTACATCTGTGTATTCCTCTAATTATACTTTTTGATCTCTCTGAAAATTAAATTTATTTCAAAAAATTAATTTTTTGAAAATTTATTTCAAAAATCGAGGGTTGCACTTTGTATTGCTCACCAGCTCTGTCTGTCTGTCTGTCTGTCTGTCTGTCTGTCTGTCTGCCTGCCTGACTTCTCTAGTATGTCTGAAAATAGCAGATGAATTTCATCAAGCTCGGGTTCAGGGTTCACTGTGTTGACAGTTAACACAACCAAATCGTCTCAAATACTCAAAAATCTACTAAGATTCAGTGTCTGTGTCTTTTGTCTCACTTTTTAAGGCTTGTGAAGTAAAATAATTGTGTTGCAGAGGGTCAGTCTTATTGATTTCTGTCCATTTGTAATTGTTGCTTGTATATTTTGGAACTGATTTTATGAATACTATCTGACATACTGCAAAACTTGGCCCCATGCTAGATTTCAGCCCTCCTAAATCTTTGTAATGAAAGACAACTCTATTCATGTCGGTCACAGCTCTCTGTTTATATTGTGCCATGTTAACTCCTTGATTTCACTTCAACCTGAAGTGTTTTTTAAGATGTCTTCTTACCCTCCATCGGGATATCAGGGCCCCCATATCTGTAGATTACAGTCGTCTCCTCTTTGGTTCACTGTGGAACACAAAGTCTCTGTTAAAACACAATCCTGGCTCCAGTTAAACAGTTCATGCTGCTGATGTTAAACACCACATTTAAGCCCTGCTTTGACATTAAACACTTACATCATCACATGATTTAGCAAGCTGCTGATAGAGAAACTGTTCACAGTGGCTGCTATTGTTGTTGTGGATTTACTAAAGAAATCTTTGCCCTCATATAACACAACATATTCTGTCAAGACCTCGCATGTTATAACTTATAGCCGTTTTCAGGCAAATGCGTTATTTAGCATTGTCCTTTCACATGAGACAATTAGGCTAAACTATAACATTAAGTAAAGAAATGGTTAGTTAGTGCCCAGCTCAGTCAGCACTAGAATGTAACCCTACTGTCCTCAATCTGTCTCTCTGTTGTCACCTGTCTGTCTGTCTTGAAATTACCGGTCGACCCTCATCGACATGCATGCATGTCTTTTATTGTTGTTTAGCTGTGTCTGACTGACATATATATATATATATATATATATATATATATATATACTCTGCATGCTTTTATGTTTTGTGCCTCCGACAAGGATGTTTTTTAGTGTCCAACAATGCAGCATAATCATGTCTTCAGTCCATGTTTATATTTAACATAGTTATCCCTCATTTCATTTGCTTTATGTGTGTTGAATTGGAGAGCCTCTGTGCTGCATGTCTTGTTAGTACTTGACAATGCAGTATAAGAGTCTCCTGAATGATGATACTACTAATATTAATATTCTCACATATTTATAACATATTTTCGTTATATTCTGTTTTTAGGTTTACTTTGTAACATCTGTCCCGGGACTACAGATGAAAAATAGCTTCTTGACTAACTCTGGCACAGTTACAGCAATGTTTGTTATTAATGTGCACTGTCCCTTATCAAATAAACCCATAAAGCTAGCGTGAATGCTAACGTTGATGGAGCTATAGCTAACGGTAGCCGCTCTATTGAAACATTACGTTGTACAATCACCTCTGTGCCAGACAGAGAGGCCTGTAGACTTTACAAATATCTTTGGTGTGAGGCAAACAGAAACGCACCTAAAGTGTAGCTTAGCTTTAGCTAAGTTAGCATATGTTAACGTAACTGATAGCTTAGTGCAACAATAACAACAACAGATTAGCATCGTCACGAGCAACACGCTGTCGTTTAATGTTATTCATCCTAATTAGGGATTTTCATTTAAATAAATACTTACATTAGTTGGTGTTTAAGTGTTTATGCTAGCAGGCCATTTAGCCAAGTTGGTGCAGAAACTACAACACTTTCACTGTTACCTGAACTGACATATCATCTTCTTCTTCTTCTTCTTCTTCTTTCTTTTCGGCGTCTTCTTCTTCTTCTTCTTCTTTTGCTCTTTATGGCGGTTGGCAAACAGCTCTCGGGTTCATTACCGCCACCTACTAATCTGGAGTGTGGACTACGGAGACCCTCTCTAATAAAGAAAACTAAACCAAAAAAAAATATATATATATATATAAATAAATAAAATAAATAAAATAAAAATCATCAGTGAGTCTTTTCTCACACTCCACATTGAATTATGGGATTACTGCTGCTGTTCTACCAGTTTTAGGGTCTAAAAACTGTATAAATATGTAAGTAATTGTAGCAATTCCTCCTGATGTATGACTTGAAGATCTTACAGTTTCCTCCATGTTCATCTCTCATCAGTTCAAGGAGGCCAATATCAATTTCAGGCTGTGGCAGTAACCAAAGAGGAATAGCTGGCAGAACCACAGTTGGTTATAACTCCGATAAAATAACAGTAAACCTAATTCACTGGCCTTTGGCCTTTTGTCATGTTCCCAGCATGACTAGCACTTACTGTTGGATGGTTATGTCCTTGTAAACTGACCCAATATGCCACCATGATCTGTATTCTTCTCAACTCCAATGGCATTTCCCCCACTTCTACCTGCAATGCCGGCACAGATGTAGTTTGAAAGGCCCCACTACATATCCTTAATGCTTGTATTACATCCAGTTTTCCCAACAAGGTTTTAGATGCTGACCAACAGTATATGCCACACAGCTAGTCTAGAACTGATCTGATCCAACAACAATTTACTGAGTATGTACATCATCAAATATTAAATATTCACAGCAAATAATGAAAAGTCTGGCCCAAATTAAATACAGCCTCTTGCTTTTTTACTCTAATTTTAAGATGCAAGTCACGTTTTTCACCACTAGATGTCGCACACATTATATTATGGCACGTGGGCTTTCATTATTCAATGCATCACTCAATGTGAGCTGATCGGTGGGGCAGAGAATAATATGTTTCAGTTAATCAGGTTTGTCACTAAACTGTGATGATATCACATCGTAAATGAAACAATTAATTGTAATCTTGTCATTGTTATGCATGTCACAATGTATTTTTAATTTAATAAAATCATCTGCATTGTAATAATTCAACATTACGTTTCCTTTCCAGCTAAACAGCAACAACTGTTAAATGTATGTTATGAGATATTCTGACAACAATGCCTTTCTGCAAAGTGCAGCATTTTATGACCACACAGCACATGGTTCAGGCTGCAAAACCACATATTTATGGTAATCATTTTGTAGGTTTTCCTTTCAGTAAAAATGACTTATTCTACAAAATAAATGTAAACTGCTGAATGTCACGCACCAAAGCAAATGAAGGCCCAGCTCAGCCCCGTAAACACGCATGTGTTAGTGTTTCCACTGCACTGGACATGTTGTGGAATCTCTCGAATATTCAGCAGCATTTTCTCAACTCCCAGCTGAGCTGTTTCGGATTAGGCTGCAGTGTGCAGAGATTTGGCCTTCAGCTTGAATGCTCACAGCTTCCTCTGGAGACCGAAGAGTTATGAGCCTAATAAAACTCTCTCTCTCCCCCCTCATCTCCCCCTTTCTCTCTCTCTTTCTCTCTCTCTCTCTCACACCCACACAAACAAAACACAAACACATTATGTGTATAATAACCGATGAGTAATCTTGATGCTGATGTTATTTCCGTTTCATTAATCCGTAATAAATTAAATACTAAGATAAAAAAATGAAATGTGGGGACCTTTTTTAATCTTTATACAACTCTTCCAAAAAAGTAGGCCCTAATGTGTGTGTGTGTGTGTGTGTGTGTGTGTGTGTGTGTGTGTGTGTGT